GTAGGAAGGGATTAATTTTTGGAGTAGAAACCAAGATATTTTGAAAATGCTTGAATGAGCCAAATATTGATTGAGTTTATAACTAATTTTTGGGGGCAAAATTGAGGCAAAATGTTAAGTAAAATTTTAAATTATGACAGTTGAGTGCCTAACGTATATTTAAGATTTTTTTAATGATGTTAATGGAAAGAAAAACTAATAATTTGTTATTAAAAAATGAATATTTTGTGAAAAAAAAATTGATTAAAAAACCAATAATTTTTCGTAAGAGTTAAATTTTATTTTTGGCACGACAAAAAATTTTAAATATCCTTTACCTATTTTTTTTTTATTGTTTAATGAATTTATTTGACATTAAACCCATCTTAAAAGACGTCCAATTTTTTTCATTTTCAAGCCATCAATCGCATATATACTTAACTCGGAGCTCTTAGTCGGACGTCCTCTTCAAAATAGGGGAGAAAGCAAGATAAATATCTAAAAATATAACATAACATGCATGATTAATATTGTTTTTACACAATGAAAAGGTAAATAGAGCAAAGTCTCATAATTAAAAGCAGAAAATCTGATAATCCAACCAAATAGAACAGGGAAATTAAAAGTTCCAACTCACATAACCAAAGAACAAGCCAAAGGATTTCAACTTGAAGGGGAAACTGCTCGCTTATGTTCCAAAAAAATCAATCAACTGGCTCACCACTACAGCCAAAGCTTCATTTTTCTCTTAAAAAATAGCTCCGTATTATATGTCGAAATAAAAAGTTCGGCAAGGAGGGGATACTGCAACCGTACAAACAATAAAATTGGAATGCCAGCCATTATAATTATGGGAATGATTGCCCAGAGTCGATGTTGTAGTACAATCCAAAGAGCAGCAGAAAAGCTAACCGCCATTGCTGCTATAGAAAAAAGAGTAGTGGAGACGAAACCGATCAACTTCCTGGGTAAGGACTCGAGAAAATCTACCGGCGTGAAGCCCGATGCTAGGATTCCCATAAACATTAAGACTGAAGCTGATGCAGTAAAGAAGGAAATCCCATCAAATATTATAAATATCATAAATGCCCCTTTATTTAAAAAATTGGGAGACCCATTTTCTGCATTGCCGCCGGGGAAAGCACAGGCTGCAGCAAACGTGACCGTAATAATGAGAGTAGCGGCAACAATAAAAGAATTTGCCATGTTCCTGATCCACTTTTCCCCCTCGTTCACTAAATCTTCATGGCTCTTTAAAAATACTTCATGAGGGGTTTCACCATTATTATTTTTAGATTCTTTGCACCATTCTGGAACAATTCTTTCCACCTCCTGCATTCGGTTAACAAAAAAGTACACATTAATTTTTAGAACAACAAATTAGATTTTCTTTTTGAAACAAATAAGTTAACACTTACTTTATATATAAACTTTGAGAGAATCAAAACACACTTCATGTATAAAAATAAATTAAAATAATAAATAATAATTATTATAAAATGCTATAATTAAGTGGACAAGAAAGATGAAAACCTTAAACCATTTTACTTCTCTTTGCAAATGCAATGCAGGGCTGCAGATTCGGGTATCTTGAGAGGGAGGAGCTTTCTCCCCTGCCACATGTAACATATTATTCCGTTTTTTATCTGTCTGATTAAGAATATGGGCTTTCAATCCCTCATTAATGCCATATAGGAGGCTGAAAATGTTTTCTTGACGAGATTGGATTGCTATCATGAAAACGTGTCTGCCATCATCATTATAGAAAATGAGTGGTTTGATTACTTTCAATAGCTCAACGACGATTTCAACATTGCCCTGCTCGGTAGCTTTAAACATCGCGTCAGCCACTCCACAATTCCGAAGAGATTGAACTTTTAATGTTGAAATATGCTTACACATACATTGAAGAATCTTATTGGAATAGATATGCCTCGACTTCAAATCATAACTTTTTTTGATTCCTAAGTAAATCAAGAATCAATTAACATATACCATGAAAGGCATAAGAATAGAATAATAGAAGTACAAATGCTAAATTACATAAAAAATGAGTTTCATAGTTGCGGGTGGGTTACCAGGGAAATTTTGGGGCATTAAACATAATGTAAGATGTTGACCAAATGCTCCAGGAGTAAATCTCTGTTAGAGAACAATACAAAAATTTATTTTAGTACTACATTAACATAATTGATATTATTTTATATAAATTCACATAATTTTAAATACTTAACTCTTAGATAAAATATCTAATAAAACATTTTTTATCTATTATGTATATTTTAATAAAATTTTCTCTTTTTTTTTTTTAAACGCCATTACATTGGAGGTGAAGGTTCGAAACTAAACCCTCGAACTGGAAAATGTACCTACAAACTAATTTACAGTCATTGGGCTGTGAGACCCAGTGTAAATAAAATTTTGTTAAAAATTATACCATTATTAATTTATTCTATTCATTTAAAAAATTTTAAATTAAAAAAAAAAACCAATAAAATAAAAAATTGCACCGCCTGAGAAGTATGACTTGACAAGCGAAAAGTCACACTACCTAACATAATTAAAATGAATAAAAAGAAGAGAAAAAAAGGGAGAGCTGTCTCTATGTACAAAAATAACTCTCTTTTATAACGGAATTTTAACAGAGTTTTAATGGATTAAAATTTTATTTTTATTATATTTTTTAAGAAAATAATAATAAAAAAAACTTCCATTATATATACTGTTATGTACGTGCTGACGTACATAAAACAATAATTATAAGTCCATTATTTCTACGCCACTTGATTTAATGGCAATCATCCCCTGGTGAGGTTGAGGGTTTTGAGTGACAGGCTTATTAGTTTCCCCTTCCCCATAACAAATACTAAAATGCAATGTGGTAATTAGATGGTAAGCGTCTCTCCTTATTAATTTTTGTGTATTTGAAGATAAGGGCTTTATTTGAGAATGTTTTTTTGGTGCTTTAGTTTTTGATTTTTTTGTATTTTACTACTCTAAAAATAAATAAAATGTTAATTAAAATAAATATTAAATATATTAAATATATTTTATATAATTTTAAAATATTAAAAGACTAAAAAACATTTAATTATAATTATAGTCCAACACTCATAAACAAAGCCTAATCCTCCTCAAAAGATCTTAAGAATACACCTTCATATTACATTAGTATATTTAAAAAAATTAATTCTCTTAAATAATAATCTAAGACTTAAAACATTGACTATATAATACTTATTAATAGTGGATCTAACTTTAAAGGTTTTTTTTTTTTTTTTTTTTTTTACAATGAAATCATGTTACAGTGTAATCAACTTACATACACTCAAATACCTTGTATTTTGATGTTTTTTCCTCTAAGGTCTCGAATTGCATTCGTACTTCATCATCGAAGGAAATTGTGGGCATCTCTACCTTTAACACTTCAACACATATACCACAAATTGATCGATTAAATCAATATATATAGCCAAAAAATAATAAAATTTAAAGATTAAATATGAAATTAAAGGGAATCCATACTTACAACAATAAATCCATATGTGCCAAAACCGAAGCTTTGATCCACTATAGAATGCATCAGGTTGACGTGACAATATAAAAATAGGAGAAAATTCCAGCATTTCTTTGTCTGGAGCAACAATCAACTTTGGGTTGCACTGAAGTTGATGCAAGCAAATACCTGATTTATAAGTAGGACAAAAGTTACCCATTATCTACTCCACTATTGTAAAAATATATTTCAAGAAGTCAACTATGATCAACCCAGTTAGGGAAAAAATTTTATTAAGTACTCAATTGAAAACAAAATCATACTGTAAAATTAAGAAACTAGAGGCTTCCAGGACTGTTGGGTTGTGTAAGTGTCGTTATTCTTATTACTACTATTACTATTATTATATCAAAATATATAAAATATTAATCAAAATTAACTAAAAATTATAAATTTACACGTTTAAACATGATACTACAAAAAAAAAGTGTAAAATATTCACAAACAAGTAAAACTTTAATTTAAATTTAAATTTTAGAGATTTATTTTTAAATAATGTTACATTTATCTGCTACTAGTGTGGCTAGTGGAGGCAGTGGGCCGGACCACTAACTCCTCTCATGCATCTTGGATCCCTAACACACGATACCATATAAATAAAAAAGTTTGATTATACGATTACCTAAAAAATTGTTATCCATGCCCGCCCTCAGGAGATCGAACCCATATTTGCCTTTATTTGATGCCAAGACTTCTAGTGGGGTCACAGAATAAAGGTATTCTGTCATCTTCTTGTGGCCCACATTACATGCGGCAGTTACTGGGATATAGCCTCGACCATTTTCAATTACAAGTAAATCGTTGTCCTTGTGGACTATGTCCATTGCCAAGTCTGTTCTTCCCGTCGTTGCAACTAAGGTAAGAACCGTGTGACCACCACTGTCACTGGCAGTCTTTATTTCCAGATCTGTTAGCGACATCTTCTCTATCAAATTCTTGGCGATCCCATATTGTCCGGCCAGTATTGCAACATGAAGAGCAGTGTAGCCTTCGTTTGATAATATTATTGTACCTAGTGGACGCCCCTGATCAAAAAACTGCTCAACAGCCTCCCGATCTCCGTTGCAAATGCTCTTTCTCAATTCCACAAGGCCAGGATCTTCAGTCATCTCATCTTCTTCTCATGTGAATAATCAAGATACTAATTAAAATTATAACTACTTTACAGTAAATTTAATTCAGACCCTGCTCAAATCAATAAAATTACCTCCACCCGACCCCTAGAATGAATAATTTCAGTTACCTCACCTTCCCCCCCCTAAAATAATCAAGATACCAATTAAAATTATAAATACTTCACAGTAAGTTTAATTGAGAACTCGCTCAAATTGATAAAATTACCTCCACCCAACCCCTCAGGAGTCATTTCAATTATCTCAACTTCTTCCCTTGTAAATAATCAAGATACTAATTAAAATTATAAATATTTCACAGTAAGTTTAATTGAGACCTTGTTTAAATTAATAAAATTACCTCCACCCGACCCCTCAGAAGGAGTCATTTCAATGCTCCCACCTTCTTCCCCTGTAAATAATCAAGATACTAATTAAAATTATAAATACTTTACAGTAAGTTTAATTCATACCCTGCTCAAATCAATAAAATTACCTTCACCCGAACCCTAGAATGAATAATTTCAGTTATCTCACCTTTTTTCCGCCGTAAATAATCAAGATACTAATTAAAATTATAAATACTTCACAGTAAGTTTAATTGAGACCTTGTTTAAATCAATAAAATTACCTCCATCCGACCCCTCAAAAGGATTTATTTCAGTGTTCCCACCTTCTTC